ATTTTCTTTTTAGTCGGTTAAATTTGAAAATATTTATATTAAATTTTATTTAAAATAAATGTTTTTTAAGTTACTTTTTAAATGGGTGAATTAATTGCTTGTCATCTAACGGTTTATGTTCATTCTTGTTAATCTTCTTACAGGTCATCCAGTTACAATTTTACTACCCACAGATAATGGTTTTAGAACGGGGAGTGGGTCTTTGCAATGACACTGAGGCTATTTCAACATAATCAACAAGATTGAAATAATATTTTATCATGGCTAACTTTATACAATCGTTTTCCATGACCAGGACATTGCAAAAATGAAAGCAGAATTTTACAGTGAATAAAATTGTGAGTGATGAGGAATATGTTTAGTTTAAAAATAGAAAAATTGTTTTTCAAAATAACCTGATTGTAATTCTTAATTTCAAAGAATATGTTTGAAACAATCATTTTATTTTTGTTATTATTCAAACATATCAATTTGCATTTTATATTAAACTCATTGATTTGTATCATAAAAAATGAAATTAATAAAGTCAATCTGGAACTGTGCTTATAAAAAATTCTTGCATTTTTTTTTTTATTTTCAAAACTTCCTGAAAATTAAACTAAACAGTATTTTATTCATCATAATTGTGGAGTTTATAAAGCTTGACATTTTATAAGTCACCAGGAAATGTCCACTACATACAGTTGAACAATTTGTTCATCTCTAGTAATCTTCTGTTTGCATAAGAAATGTGACAAATATACAAAAATAGTTACCATAAACAAATTAAAGTCTGATTAGAAGAGGTTACTGTAATAATACATTATATTAATAATTACTTAAAATATTAATGATAATAATATAGTTTGAAAAATATTTCTAATAACACAATAATAAGAGAGGATCTCTTTCACATACACAATTTAGTCAAAGATGGATGCTTTTTAACCCAAAGTAGCAAAGATTCTAATTGGCCATTGTGAAATAAATCTGAAATTCTAACTGCAGAATTATCAGAGAAAAGGGAATTAAAAATTTTGACAATAAAGTAAGACAAATACTAACATTAATAATAAAGATAAAATAAGAAATGAATACAATAAAAATAAAAACAAAGATTATACCCTAAAGTACATCTAAAAATCAATACATCCTAGCCACAAGATTTCAGCCTGTGGCTGGAAGGCTCAATCTCCCCAGGCTCTTTGGGAAGGGGCTACGTTTAATCATTGGTGTTCACAAAATAGAAAGTTCCTAGAAGGCTGGACTATTTTAGGTTTCTGGAACCATGTATACATAGGAATCCTTCTTTAAACTCCACCTTGTGGCATATTCTGTTTGAATGTTGGTTCAGAAACCCCATAGAAAAACAATACAAGTTATATTAACGATGACTGAGACTCATCAAGCATAAATATAATGAAAGTAAAAATTGAAAAAAATAATTTAAAAAAAAAAAAAAACAAAAAAAACAAATTATAGCCTAACTTTAATTTGTGACCAAAATACTGCTTTCTATGTTGCTGATGGTTAAGACATCAGAATCTCCACCCACTCACGTACCTATAAAAACAGAAAATATTTTTCTGAATATTCATGATATACTGTATTATTGACTATAAAGTGAAAATTTCAGTGTCTTTTATAGAGTTTTTTCCTACTTTTTTTTGAAACCAGTAGATTCCCTGTGGAGTATAGGGTTGCTGTAACAAATGCTGCTTCAGTTTATTTAGCAACTGTTTATGGGGTGAAATTGTCAGCCCCACACTTAACCAGTTCAGAGTTCTTCTTCTCAAGTGGTTGCCAAGCATGTCTTGAAAGCCAAGTCTGCTTTGGTATTTTACAGATAACTTGGATGAGGAGAACAGGTAGATTCATGACCTTTCCCCAGAGATGTTAGCACACAGTTTTAATTTTAATGCAACTTGGTGATTACATTTCTATGTTGCAGATGGTGAAGCCATCAGAATCTCCATTTTCCACCAACTCACCCACCTATAGGGCAACCAAAAACAGACACAAAATATTTTCTGAATACTCATGATATACCGTATTACTGACTGTAAAAAATTTCAGTGTCTTTTATAAACAATAAACTCTCTAGACTCAAAATTATTACTACCACCAAAAATTACCCACAGCAAGTTAAACCAGCCCTATTTTATGCAACAGTTTGTGAATCATGGATTTGAGAGATAAAAATTATTCAAACAAGATGTCCCTTTTACTTTACTGAACAAATTTCTTCAATTATATGCAAATAACAAAGAATAAAGAAAAATATGTTGAAGTCGTATCAGAGGACTGAGAACACTGAATTCAACTGGAATTCCAAGTCAGTGTTTGTTAACCACAAATGGGAAGATATGTAGTAATGTAAGCACATGAAGAGAGTATTGTCTTGCCTTTGCTGAGGATTTTCTTAATCTCCAAATGTCGATTTTAAATCTAAATAATGCCAAATAAAATTAACATTAAATCCTGAACCAACTACTACCAGAGCACCGTATTTGAACCGCGAAAGTATCACTGATTACTTCCCTTGGTTTCATTTTACTGTACATTACAAAACAGTGATTTTATATATATATATATATATAAGTGTGTGTTTGCAAAAAGCTTTCTTTATATTGCTGGAGGAGTACAATACATAAAGACTAGAAATATTGTGTTAAAAGAACTCTTAGATTTCAATTGGCTTTCCAGATAAAATTTAAATATTTTGTGTGTGGGTGTGTAAAAAAAAAAAGAAAAAAAAAAGAGTTTTATTTATTATAAATGTTTTTATTTTTAAGAAGGGGGCAAGACAGGAAGTATTGAACATAGATAAGAAGAAAAATGTACAGCAACAAAGTTTCTGATATTTTACAAGTATAATGTAAGTGCAAAATTTTATTAAATATGCCAATATTTGTAAAAATGTAAACAAAAAGCATAACTAGTAAAAAAATAAAAAAATAATTTTATCTGAAAATGAAGATGATCCCCACCAGTACCCTGGGAAAAATGACTTAGAAAATGTTTTTAATAGATGGACAAGTCATTAGTTATGCTGTATTAAGCAAAGCATTAATAGTTAGTTCTAATCTGATACAAAGTATATGTATGCATATAAAATGAACAAGACTACCGTTTTACTCTTTAAAAGAAAAAAAGAAAATGAAATGTATTTTTGTAGATCACCTGTCCCATTCTGGTGCTAAGATAAGTATTATTAAGGAAATTATTTTTTAAACTTTCATATTAAAAGTGGGGTACGTATTTTTTACAAAGAAAGAAAAAAAAATATATATCAGGATACTTTTTTTTTTCTTTTTTTTTTTCACCCAGCATTTGAAAGTACAAGAATAATTGGTTAAATTTTATAAAGATACTTAGATTCATGAATCATTCATTTATCCCAACATCAAAGTATTGTAAATTATTTCTAGTCGCATCAAGATGATGTAATTTCCTTTGTTTTGTTTCTGATATCACAACAAAAGCATAAATAAGTTTGTAGATTGCAAAATATTTTTCATACAAAAGTTAAGTATGAAAACAATAAGATCAAATTTTAAACTGAAAACTAATTCAGTATCTGCTTCTTATAAAGTTTAACAAATTTCCATATTACCAACCACAGGGAAATTGTTCAATCCTTAAGAAAATCTATAAACTTACTTTTACTTTTTCTAACCACAGAAATAAAAATTAAACTAGAAATCATTTTCAAAAATTCAACACATTAGAATTTGTAATTGATACAAATAAAAGCAGCTGCAAATTATAAACTTAAAAAAAAAAAAAATAATTTAACAATGTTAGTTTCATTTATGTCAAGTGAGAAATCTCATTAAATAGTTTGCTATTGTGAATTTTACAAATATAATACATAGCTGATTGCAAAACTGACCAACTGGTAAAAGAATTCAACAATTTACAGGCCAAAACTTTCAATTAGAATGCAGATGATCCTTAGCAAAATATTCAAGATAAGAGTTTCAGATCTTTTGGTGCCCAGCAAGCCTATATGCAAGAGCTTCTTCAACAATGAAGACATGACCAAATTTATTTGTGAAAACCAATGAGGGAATCCACTTACTACCAAGCACTTGTAAAATATACACCTCTAAATACAAACATTCATGTACTTATGTTTGGGGTTTTACAAGTATGAGTGACACCAAAATATCCTGGTTGTTTTTTTGTAACCATTTCTAAACTTACTATAACACACACATATATATATAGAGAGAGAGAGAGATTACTAAACCCTGTAAAGGAAGAGTGTCCACTAATGTAGAACATCCTTTAAATGTAACCTAAGATGCTAGTTTTCCCCATTTTTTTTAATTAAAAAAGGCCTTAAAACAATATAATGTACTGTAGAATAGTAAATAATTAAATTTTAATAAGGAATATAAAATATTTACTTACCTTATTTACATGACAGTGAAATGGAGCAACCTTAACTTATGGAAACACATATTCTCATGACTAAGATTTTAGACAGAAGTTTAAAAATAGTGGTTGTCAAAGAAAAATGAAAACTAATTTACAAATTCTTTTTCACAAATTTACTGAAGAGGAAGACAACTTTTCTAAGCAATCTGCCTAAAAATACCTTTCATTCAAATGTGATTTTGTGTTTTTGTTACTCATGAAAAGATTTTAATTATTAAAAAAAAAAAAAAAAAAATTAGAAATATTAGATTAATTATTCAAAAAACAATTTAAAATCCTATTTTTAATTATTGATATTATAAACAAATAAAAATATCAAGAAAATATCAATTCTAAAACTATTCACCCTACCAATTGAAAATGTATATCAAAATGTAGTAAATAGTTATTTTTTACTGAGTTATATCTTTTGTTAGAAAAGAACAATGTATTGATTATTTTTTCCTGGAAAGGAATTTTAAGAAGAAGAAAAAATCTTAGTCCCCGACATTTTCTAAACTCATTAAATTAGTAACCAGAAAATAAAGCTGCAATCAAATTCATCTTTAAAAATAACTAAATTTAAAAATCTGATTTTAGGCAAGATAACTTACAGCTGTTGAATTAGGAAGATCTGGTTTATTATACGACTTCTTGTGGTATTGATGAGGTTGGTCACAAACACTTGCATTGTTGCTTCCTGTATTTAATGTTCTGTCAGTAACCGGATTTGGCAGTAAATTGACGAGTTTCAGCATTTTTTCAAGGCTGTGGATTCCCAGGTTGCAATTCTTATAGAAAATTTGGTCATCTGGCATTCTCTTCAGTTTGACAGATAGATAAAATGGGGAATCTGGTAGGCAGGCAGAGTGTGGTCTTCGCTTAGCAAATTCTCTGTAGAAACGGATTGGGCATCGATCCAATCGTTTATGATCTGGCCAGATTATGCACATGTTATTGTTGTTGCCATCTGACTTTGGTCCCGACATTGCTGTCAATGGAGGCACTGACCTGGCTTTCTGAATCCGCTCATTATAAACTAGGTATTCCCCTTTTAAGGGGTCCGATTTCAGCTGTAAATCACCCCATTTGAGTTCATATGATTCTTGGTTGCACTTCAGACCTAGCAATTTGCGATTAAAGTACCAGACTGTTCTTTGTAAAGATGAGGCATTTGTGATACAACCAAGACTGCCGTCTTTCCACAAGGCATCTTCTTCCTCTTGGGTCAGCTCAAATGTAGAATTTGGTTTTTTTCCCTTACTCAGTTCTTTCAACTCTTTCTTCTTTGCATTCAAAACACTTCGGCTCAAGGCAAAGTCTACATCCGTCAGGGTGTTATATGGGTAATTTTTATCACGCAGGTAACGGTCAAGGGCACATTGGAAAGCACTGAGAGACATTGGTTCAAACTCTCCACCATCCAGCTTCTTGACCTCTCGAAAGAAAGAGCATAACAATTTGTCTAATTCGTTGGGAGGAATCTGTTCAACTGGACGTTCTTCACCTTTTTCACAAAAGAAAGCAGTCATCCTTCGTATACAGGAAATAGTTTTACGCACAGTCAGAACATTACGCATGTGGGGTTGGGAGGAACTTTCATAGACTTTCTCCAGATTCTGTGGTACTTGGGTAGGAACTGTTACTGGTTCCACTTCTGGCTGTTTGGCCTCTGTGACCATTCTTTTAGGATCTTGAATACTGGCAATATTCACTGTCTTTCTAACATTGGCACCTGATGCCAATTCTATTTGGTCAGTTTTCGGGTTAGGCAAACTATCACAAAATTGCACTGTACAATCAATAATCTCTTGCTGGTTACCATTGACATGGACAGCTTTTCTTTCATTTTCTTTCCGCAACTGCTTGCTTCTGAGTTCCTTTTTGCGGGCAATGAGAACACCCCGAGACAAGGCGAACTTGTGATCTGAGAGGATGTCGCAGGGGTATTTATGCTGGCGGAGATACCGATCCAGGGCACACTGAAAGGCACCCAGTGACATTGGCTCAAATTCATCACCATCCAATTTACGTGCTTCTTTAAAAAATGAGCAAAGTAGCGAATCAAGTTCATCAGAAGGGATATGCTCCAAAGGACGGCTTTCACCTTTAGACATGAAAAATCCAGTTAACTTGCGAAGGCAAGACTTGGTCTTTTTCACGGTGTTTTCATTGTACATCTGAGAGACAAAACCACTCTCCAGTTGGTGGGTATCATCCTTACTATTAACATCCAGTTGAGGTTGGAGGGCCTTACCGGTAGCATCTGCTGCATGTGTGACATTAAATGTTTTGTCCTGACTGTAACCACCATTACTAGCATGGTCACTATTGACCACCACCGGCTTATCATCGATCGCAGTGCCATACGTAAAGCTCATTTTCCACTTTTTAAGGCTGCTGCTGTTGTTGTTGTTATTATTCCCCACCCGAGAAAGACAGACATCATTTCTCACCTCCACTGCCACCTTCTCTTTCACATCACCACCACCACGTCCTCCTCCTCTATCACCGGCACCAACGGTGGCATTGCCAACAACAGGAATCAACTGTCTTCTACAAAACGATGAAGTGGGGTTTTCGGAACTGTCAGTGCAAGAACTAGCCGTATTGCTAGACGAACCAACAACTGCCCTCAACACTCTGTTATGACAAGAAGTTGAAATAGTCGAACAACAACTGGCAGAAGTAGCCATATTTGTCGATTGAAGCAAAAATGTATAACTAGGACAGACAGACAAGGCGGACAAGCCCATATATAATTTAGCTCACACATAAAATACCGCACGCACACATCTATATAGATAAATAAATATAGAAAGTGCACATTCTCTTTCTTTCTGGCACGCACACACAGATACAGTTGGCAATGTACTGGCAATCTCTCCTCCTGCAGTAGTATGCTGAATTGGAGAATAACGACTAGCATCCGTGTCTATATAGCTTTTCGAGAAAGGAAGGGAGAGTAGTGTAGGCAGATAACAGGAGGAGGAGGGGGGCATGAATGAATAAGTGAGGGCAACGCACTTTCCATCTCCGCAATGAAAGAACGAAGAAAAAAAAAGGTAGAAGATTCCGAGTGAAAATAAAACAAAAGAAAGAAAACACAAATTGGGACTATCAACGAAAGAAGAAGAAAAAAAAAAAGAAAGCAAAGTTGCTGTTAAAACACGTTCATTTGTATATATTTTTTTCTTCTTGAAGGGGGTTTAATAAAAAGAACTGTACGTAACAAAAATTACTACCAGCCCTTAAATCAAAATCAATATGACTGATTTTATACTCAAAGTTATGGAATCGTCGATGAAACACACACACTTTCTTACCCCTTATGTTCTAAGGCTTGACTGAATCGTTGAAAAACGCTTTCTCTCTGTCTCTCTCTCTCTCTCATATATTAAAAAGAGAGAGAGGATGTGTGTGAGAGAGAGAGACAGACAAGGGAGAAGTTTATTAGAAATAGATTTCTCGAGTAGGAATTTAAAAAAAAAAAAAAAAAAAAAGAGAGAGAGAGCGAAAAACGAAACAAAAAAAAAGGAGTTTGGTGTTTTTAAAAATATTTTTTTTAAAATCTGTGATCAGTAAAGAGAGTAGTAATAAAAGTAGATGAGTGAAATTGAAACAAAAATACAACCGAAATATTTTTGTTTCCTCATAAAATATAAATAAATATTCTCCTACTACCTACTCACTATCTTCTATGACACAAGTAAGTTGGTTGCCGTAGCAACAAGTTTTGCGTATTGATGAGGACAATTCATTTTTTTAAACCTACCCTTAAGGCTCACATACAGGCCATCAGATAGTTTATCCTTACTTCCAATTCCAACTATTTTTATTTGTTTGTTCCTCACACCATTTTTTCTAGTTCTAGCTAAAATCTGATAGAATTCGTTCAAGTTGGCGAGATCTCTTACCTATCTCTTCCTGATCTCCAACCTTTCTTTGAGAGTCTTAGTTCATTAAAAAAAAAGAAAAGTGCACTCAATGGAAAACGTTGTTACAAATACCAACCAACACTGAGGCATATTCATTTGCAATTTAGTTTTAGTAATTAGTTATATTGTAAGAATCTTCGATAACTACCTAATTTCGGAAATTAATCCTAACGTAGTATACTAAGTTTTACTTTTTTCTATTTCACTGAAAAACAGAAAATCCACAACACACGCATTCTTGCAAATTTTAAATTACACTAAACGTCAAGTAACTGAATGTTGAAAGATCGTGTCGCACTAATAAATGAAAAAAAAATTATTCTGTTTTGAAAAATTTTCTTTTTTTTTTTTTGCCCGAACTTGAATACGAATACCGAACTTTGGCAAATAGGGTCAACTCAAAACTCAGTTGGTAAAATTTAATTAATCGAACTTAAACAGTTAAAAAAAAGTCCTAAAAGCAAAAAATGATCTCAAGTCCGTGCAACTTGGTTATTTTTCTCAAAAGTCAAACAAAACTAATTTAAGGCGTAAAACTGTAAGAGATTTAGTTTAACAAAATTAACAACAAAGATTTGTTTGACTTTAAATAAAACTTTACATGTCAACCCTTGTTGAAACAAAGTAAATATAGATATTTTATTTATTTATGTATTTTGTATGGGACAACCAGTAAAGATTGAACTCGCTACTCACTCACAGTAGTCAACCAGACTAGCCTTCCTGGCCATTACCCCACGCCGAGGCACCTTGAATACGACTTGGTAAGTTTTTTTCTCCACTTCCACCACAGCAAAATTAGAATAAATTAAAAGAACGACTTCATAAAAAACAATTTTCATGTATTCATAAATAAATAAAAAATATAACAAGACTCAAGAGAAAATAATTTACAAAATTCTCAGTTTATAAACATCAAGCGTGGAAAAAAAGGCATTTCATTGATATTTTCAACATTTTGTCAAAGTAAAAGCGTACACACACTCTCAAATGTGTTTTTTGATATATTCGTCAAGTATGATCCGTATACAAAGAATTCGTTCCTAAAAAGGGGGGGGGTTGCTACAAACAACAACAACAATCTCCGAAAATAAACAAAGATTATGACAAGAATTTAATTTTTGTTTATTTCCTAAGATTTCAGTTAGAGAAAGGGAAGATAATATTTTATTATTATGGTTGTTGTTTTGGCACATTTTTTGAATAATAGAATTTAGAGAGAAAATAAAATAAATATTTGTATTCCCAACCATTCCCTATATAAAATTATTTTGTGTTAAACAAGAGTAGGACTGAATAACAGGTGTACTGCTTCGACACGCACTGACTGACCAAATAAATAAAATAAAAATAGAAACGTCAACATTTCACTGGATGGAGAAATTACAAAAATAAAGTCCACAATCATAACAATTCGGTCTTACTCTTCAAATATACAAGTCTGTTTCATGCAGTTTTTGCACAAAAGATATACTCTTCTTGGCCAATGGCTTTTTTTTTTATTTCTTTATCGTTTGGACAGACGCCATCTTAAGTGATATATTTCAAGAAGTCGTTTTAAATTAAAATGAAGATACTTTGTTTTTTTTTAAAATAAAAAAAAAAAATTGATGCAAACATTTAAGAAAAAAGTACTAAGAATAACTGCAACATTTTTTCATTTTTATAATGTTGGCAATAAATAAGATTTTTTTTTTCTCTGCGAAATTAGGGATAATTTGCTTTTTGGTGTTTCAACTAATTGCAAAAAAAGTGAAAAGAGAGAAAGATAGGTCTTATTGTTTCTTATATAGAGATACAACAATCAAGTCTACGAATACTTATATTTTTATTTTATACAGTTTTTTGTGTGTGTGTGTGTGTGTGTGTGTGTGTGTGTGTGCGCGCATTTAACAAAAAAAGCAAAATATAAATTTGAAATAGCTTTTTCAGAAAACGTTTCAGGAGTTGAGATAAAAAGAAAAAAAAAAGCAAACAATTTATGTGAATATAGAAAAAAAATTAAAGTCACGGAAACAACCAAACAGAAATGTAACACCAAAGATTCGCTAAAACATGAGCATACATAATGAAAAAATGCCCCAAACTTAATAAAAAATAGTTTTAATGTCAAAATCTTTATTTTATTAAGACGAAAGACCAAGAGATTTTTATTATTATTATTAAATTATGCTTTAATCCTTTTTTGGAACATTCAAAATTTTATAAAAAAAAACAATTTTCTTGCGCCAGCGGCCTCCCATAGATGAGCATGGGGAATTTTAGCATCTTTATGTGGTGCAACCCGACACTAACTTGTTTAATCTCATGAAATTTCAAGAAATTCTTCACTGTAGCGCTTAATATTTATATTAATTATAAGGACAAGTCCCGGGAAAATTTAAATCATCAAATTTATTTTTTGTCAAGCAAGATCTTCAGTTACAGAAAATCTGCTCTAAATTGTAAAATGAAAAATGCAGTAAAACTAAGACATTATTTAATTAGAAAAGCTTTTAATTGCTTTTATCATATGAATAAAATATCTTATGGGCACTATTGTCTTAAGAAAAAAACATTTTGATGAATACTGAATTTTTACAAGAATTATTTTTATTTTATCAGAGTAATTTATAAACTTTTAAAATTCCATATTCATTGTTTATTTTTTTATTTTTTTTAGCAGTCAGGTGATATTGTTAAGTAAAAACTATATTTACTATTAGATTGGTTTGAATATTTTCTTAAATTTTTAAGATACTGTGTAATTATATATATATATATATATATATATTCAGAGTTGTCCCTCTCCTAGACCAGTTGGCATCCAAGGCTATAGAACCCAGTCTGTTCTGCTATTTTACCCATAGCTGGAGGGTGAAGAAGAGGATTCACACCTTTCCCAAGGGTATTAGCACGTAAGTGAGTGTAATGGATTCAACCGGAATTCGAACTCGGCTCTGCGATTCCTCAATCCGAGCCGATAACCATTACTCCACCGTGCCTCCTCTGAATTCAAAACCTGAGGGGGGTTGTATGGGAACCTTGTGGCACGTAGTGCACCAGGTTTCTGTATTCGGCCCTTCAAAAAGTGTGGATGGTCCTGCATGAAACTTTCACCACTATAATCGAATCTCATGTGCCGGTGTCGGGCTGTCAGTTTCCTGGAAACTGATTTGCTTGACCCTCATACGTTGAACCCGACAGGAGAATCTTTTTTTTTTTACACACATATATATATATATATATATATATATATATATATGAAATATTTACATTGTATTCAAGTAATTGTTACAGTTACATCCCTCGTTAGTAAAAAAAATTCTAAAACAAGTCCCAAACATAAGTCTAGTGAGAAAGTTGTCAATACCTCATAAAAACACCCATCTCATGGTTAAAAACCACTTGTCTGCAATATTTTAAACTGAAAATAATATTTGTTTCAAATCTGATTAATTAAA